GAGGGGGGGCTATTGTAAAGTTGTCATCATTTTCTAGCTCCAAATAACAGCTTTATTCTATATTTTGAAAGGGGGCTGCCTAGTTTGTCAGAGGCCCAGTTTGTCACAATTTCATTTAAGTATTTGAGTTTTTATGACAGTCATAATTAAAGCACTTTAACACTTAGTTGTAACTTAAGTTTTTTATTCTCCACCTTCAAATTGGTGGTGTAGAGATAGTCCCTCTAAAATGTCAATTCAGCTTGAATTGTTCAATATTTCTTCCTTTTTGTATGCAAATCAAAACAAAATACTCTGTAAAATTTCAACAATGAATGTTCTTTCGTTAAAAACAAATGAAAAATAAAATTCAATTCATACAGTCAATCAATCATTCATTGACTCTTTTTGAGAATGTCAGTGAGAACTTCCATCATGCAGGGCACACTCGAGGCTTGTGACAAACTGGGTCTGTGACACCTTATTAATGTTTTAGGTGTTTGCTGTAAATACTCTATTTCTTTCTTACTCACTTTAAGCTAACATTAAGAAAAACGTGCCGAACCTTAGTTTACAGAGACCTTTATGAATGGGCTGATAGATTCTGATGGTCATCCAACTTTTAGACCCGTGCGCAAAATATCGGAGAAAATTTAACAGAGTGATCTTATTTCACCTTGTTTTAATCGCGGTCAGACGAAAGTGAACAAGCTACAGCTTCTCTTCCTTGGCAAATCCCGCAGAAAATCTCGACTATGGAAATCTTTGGGTATCAAAATACATGTATTTACTAGCGGTTGTGGTGTAGCGGTTATCCTATGTCTCCTTACACGGGGTGCCCACTACGGCTGGATCGGGCCGATCGCCCGACTCGATCGCCTGAAACTTAAAACAAACACGTTTGTTTTTGAGGCGATCGAGTCGGGCGATCGGCCCGATCAGCCGATCCCATCCGTAGTGGGCACCTCGTATTATGCGCGACGCGACGTTTAGTTGCTCACGACAGTCGCTAGTGATGAGTGGCGAAGTGTGTATCATGCGCGACCACATCGCGCCAAAATTTTCAGTGGCGTGCGACAAAAGCGACAAATCTGTCTCCTTATGCGCGACGCGACGTTTAGCACGACTGACAATTCACAGAAGATAGACAGCGACAAATTTTAATGTCAAGATGGACAAGGAAGTACAGAGTCCGTAAGATGGGAGTTCTAAGAGCAGTTTTGATTCCGTACATGGCAAATCCCGTGTAAGTCCTCCTTCTCCTCCTCCTCCTCCTTCTTATCCTCCTCCACCTCCTCCTCCTCCTTATCCTCCTCCTCCTGTCCATTAAAAATCAAACAAACAACAAAATTAGATTTTAGAAATTAGAATTACATTGGGTCGAATTGAAGATGA